TCAAGCTAATTCCTCTGCTTGTAGTACTCAATGCGGGAACTCTTCTGAAAACGGTCTCTACTGTTTATTGACTCCAGTTGCTTGGGGTGACTTCTTTTATCCAGACATGGGCAAATAAGGCAGATAAACATCGACTGAGGATCTCACTTTCATCCTGGAGAAGAGCGCAGCCAATACTTTGGTGACTCTTGAGGAGGAAATATACTGGCATATTTCGGATGTTGACGAAAGGTCTCAAGTTCACTATCCAGGTTTCGGTTGTGGCTTGGCAATGCAATTTAGCCATTGCAGATGATCGATTGAATTGTTGAAAATATTCAGCCCGAACGACTCCGCCGGCCTTTTCCACCGATAAGCGAGTTGTTTTATTCATTGGTTGTTTCGCTCATTGAAAGATCTTTCGGACCTGCTGCACATAACAGCTGAAATATTTTTCGCACATCTCTTGAATTTCTGTGTTCATCCATCTCTTCAGCTCTCGATCCACGTAGATGATTTTTTCGCCCGAAATCTGACAGTTCGTCGTGTTTTATGGTATTCTGTACCAGGAGGAATACGTGTTAGAGTTTCGGGCAATTTTACAGTGTTACCCGAGACCCGTCGCTTAGATGTAGTTAGCTGCGCCGTTCCACAAGCAGGGCGCTCCGTATTTTGCACAGTTGCGGACAGTTACAATCAACATCAGAAGATGTGTTGTCCGAGAGGGACATTAGCCTGTGGTTTTTATATATTAGTCTCACATTGACCTCCGAAAACTCACTGGTCGGGAGCTGTGTGCATACCTTAAGTGCCCCTAAAAAGTGCAACGAGCAAGCACGGGATCTGAATCCACATAATCAGCTGTGTTGTCAATGGACTGGATCCACATCATAGTTACCGACAGACGATGATGAATTCCAATTGGTATACCAGAAACAACCACAGTCCGAAATAGCCTCACGCCGCACGATGGAGGTTTTTCTTCATAATAAAGCTTCCAAATAAATCGCGGTTGTATGGCAGAGAAGCATCCGTGTTGAACACTGATTTTATGCTGTCGATGAAGATGATTTGTTGTAAGTTGACTCGCATGCGAGGGAGTCATATGACCAAGCGGTTTCTGTTGTTTTGGAAGTTAGTACCGGATGGAGATAGTCTGTGGTCAGCACATTACTGCATCAGGCGTTAACTGCCCTCCCTGCGCCTCGATTTCACTCATAGACGACAATCTCACTGAGCTTCAGCAGGCGCAAGTCTACTTACGTGCACATTCATAACCCTGGAAACCACAATATGTGAGCTCTTAGTCTGCCGCAACAAGGCGCTCAAAGCGTCAACAAAGCTACAGTCTTTTGGGATGTAAGCAGACAATGAACAGTGATTACCGGCGCGCTTATGAGATGCTCCCACGAACGTTGCCAAACCAACCAGTCAGTTTTCCAACTATAAACAGTACCGAGGGTACGTTGGTTCCAGCTACTATACTTTCGGTCATGGGAAAATGAGATAGCGTGAGAGGTATTGCCAAGCATGGGAGGCGGTAGTCTGGTGAGTTAGTTCGCGAAACTGGGCAGCTACGCATTGAAAGTGATAGCTTTGATGAGCCAGTGCCATTGACTGTTTGACTAAGCCATTGTCACTAACCAGTGATGATTTGAGTCCCGGGGTCTCCATTCAGGGGGGGCTGCAGTTGTCGACGCGACTGAATCTTACTGGTTGGTGTTTTCGTACTTCGTTGGCAGGTCACACGCGGTCGACCACTCCGTTGCTTCCACTTAGCACAGAGCTGAATGAAAACATCTCTGTGAGGCAGACGGTCCGATGGTGTGTGGAGCAGGTGTCCTAACTGGCGTGAGTAATTCATTTATCGTGGGAGGGTTAATTTTTCCCAAAACCATCGGTATTGCCAATCAGGTGTTCTCACCAGACTTGACCGATGCTCCGGACACACCGATTGTCAAACGGTAACAAATTACGTCCTCTGCGCGTAGAGGTCACCTTTCCAACTCATGAAGCAGTATGAATCGTGCCGTCACAGTGTAAATCCTCTGCCCTCGACCGACAGACTGACGTCGCATAGGCGCCTTAAGTGTCGGATGTTGGAAAAAGCTGTACTAGCCATCCCTATTCGAGAAGCTATCTCGTCTTCGGCCAGTCTACCGAAACTTACATAACGGCCCAAGTATCTATCATGTCGATTGGCTGCTCTGCGAGCACAAGGTTTGGGTTTGATCTCACGCAGTCTTATAGAATCATTTTACACAGCACGTGTGAGGCGCGTACCAAACTGTGCGGTAGAATTATTCAGGTTATTTAAAACTTCGCATTTTCGAAGGATCTGAACCAAGGAATTTAATATCGTCCGCATACTGAATGTCCGTAAGCAATCGCTCCTGAGGGGGGGGGGCATTTCGATCCGCGGATTTTCATAAAAAAGCAAGGGAGTTTCAAACAGCACGTCACTAGCAAAGTTCAAGAGGAATGATGAAAGAGGACAGTCTCTTCTGACACCAACGAACGTGGCGAACTTAGGCGAGAATTTGATGTGTAGTCTTATGCTCTTACACGAATTTGCATATGATATTCCCATAAGCGATGTAATTTTAAAGGAGCACCATCGATTAAAAAACACCGCCAAAGTTTCTGATGAACGACGAAGTCAAAAGAAGTTTTTGGAAGAACGACTAACGTGGAGCCTCTTAAACAGTGACATTGCTCAAGGCGAAGATATGGTCGATGCATCGGCGAAACCTGGCTTGGTTCTCGCGAGTATCTCTCCTGGAAAAATAACACCTTGGTTGCTACGGCCACCAAGCTGGTTGCACGGTGGTTTTTGCGTGATGTCCTTTTTGAAGACTGTAATGACTGTCGAGGCGTTCAAATCCACTGGTATTATGCTTTCGTGTCAGACCGCTCACTAGAACTTCACATTTGAGTAGTGTTGGGTACAAACCATCGCGGCGGGTCTCTCGTCGTGCTGGAGGATTTACAGTTCACACTGGATTTTTGTTGTTGGGTCCTTCCAGAGATTGTTGAAGAAGGCCAGCTGAGCTGTTCTTTAAAGTGTCCACCCCATTGGTCAAGACGATTTTGTGGGTGAATTGGTATTCCGTCTTTTTCACATGTTGCTTTGCTGGTCGATTGAGTGAGCGGAAACAGTGCGCGGCTGTTACTTGCTTCGGAAGCCTTTTCCATCTCTTACGTCTTCGCAATCCGTTAGTGTTCTCTACCATTCTCCAAGCTCTTGATTATCCGGATTTTGAGGGATCTGTGCGCACCACCATATTCGCTATCTATTGGTGTGACAGCAACAAGATCTGCTTACCTGTACGATATTCATCGTTCATTCAGTTTAGTCGGATGATCTGGACAAACATTTATGAGTGTTGAAACTCTCTTTCATTCAACCTCCGACCAATCTTCGAGGTAGCTCAGTAGTTAAAGTGCGAACTTGCTGACCAGAAGTCCTGTGGTTTCAATTCAACCTTTACATCTCGACTGCTCCTTTCTTTGCTTGGGCAACCTAGAAATACATCAGCCATCCTACTTCCTTCGGACGGCGTGACAGCTAGGCATTGAAAGGGTGTCACAGCTGAACGATTATATCATTACTCTTACCATCATGACCCCATTGGTCAAGACGATTTTGTGGGTGAATTGGTATTCCGTCTTTTTCACATGTTGCTTTGCTGGTCGATTGAGTGAGCGGAAACAGTGCGCGGCTGTTACTTGCTTCGGAAGCCTTTTCCATCTCTTACGTCTTCGCAATCCGTTAGTGTTCTCTATCATTCTCCAAGCTCTTGATTATCCGGATTTTGAGGGATCTGTGCGCACCACCATATTCGCTATCTATTGGTGTGACAGCAACAAGATCTGCTTACCTGTACGATATTCATCGTTCATTCAGTTTAGTCGGATGATCTGGACAAACATTTATGAGTGTTGAAACTCTCTTTCATTCAACCTCCGACCAATCTTCGAGGTAGCTCAGTAGTTAAAGTGCGAACTTGCTGACCAGAAGTCCTGTGGTTTCAATTCAACCTTTACATCTCGACTGCTCCTTTCTTTGCTTGGGCAACCTAGAAATACATCAGCCATCCTACTTCCTTCGGACGGCGTGACAGCTAGGCATTGAAAGGGTGTCACAGCTGAACGATTATATCATTACTCTTCGCCACCATCATGACTGAGTTTCCACTAGCTTTCCAGCAAGATCACCTCGATACTGTTTGGCTACTGAAACCGATCGAAGTTGATGAGCAGAGTTACTCTGCTTCGACATTCCTAATGTTTACGGAAAGGAAAGTGGAAACCAAGTCCTCACAATGGTATGATCTGAGTCAAGTTGCCTACTCCAAAACAAGCGATAGTCTTTAATTGAGGCTGTCTATAGGTAACAGCAATATCTAACTGAGTCCCTGACTGGCTTGCCGTTAGTGTTTTCTAAGTAACTCGATGTTGACGCTCGCACCATGTAAAGAGCAAGTGAAGAACAACCAATTAGGTCTGCCTCAGCGAAAACGGTTATTTCATCGGCAGTCGTGTAGTCCAGTTACGTTGGCGGCTGGTTCTTCTGATACGTTTTTACTAGGTTCCATCTAGCAAAGTTCACGTTTGTTTGTTTTTTCGTGTTTCCTGAGCTGTTTAGTTTTCCGAACTAACTGATCATGCTGTGGCTTCCAATGCTTCGCTGTATCTCTCACGTCAGATTTTCCGGTGACCAAAACTGTGGCAGCTGGAACTAACTTACTCTTTGTACATGGCTTATAGCTGATAAACTAACCAACTGATTACCGTTGCACAAGTGTTCCCTTTATTTTAATCTGATCCGAGTAATCTTCATATACTATAGTCCATTCGAATTAAATGAACTAGTGGCTTTTGCATTAGACAGTTGCTAGTAAAGAACTCTCACCCGACTTCATTGGGAGACCTTCTTGGGGAATTATGGTAGTCGTATAACCATATTTCCGTTTGCCGAATTTTTCATCAGCTTCCTCTTTTGTTTTTTTCCCGTGCAGCTTCTCACTCGGGTGTTTACACAGCTTGGCACCCTGAATCCTGAGTTGGTATCCGATCAGAAACGACGTCTAGTCATGGTACCACCACAAATGGCTCGTGTTGGTACCAAGAAAACTCTCTTCGTAAACTTTGCTACCATTTGCCGTTTCCTGAATCGTGAACAGTCTCACTTGACAACCTACATTTTGGCCGAGTTGGGAACACAAGGTTCTGTGGATGCAAACGGTGCCCTTCTCATTCGTGGTCGATATCAGAGTAAACATATGGAACCGGTTCTACGCAACTACTGCCGTAAGTTTGCCCTCCATGGCCCATGTTTTATTGTTCCGTCGTGAGGTCATTGAAAACTGTCGTCTCCTTTAGCAGTTTTGTAAACCGTCTTTCTGTCCATGGGTACTGTTGATTCACCATCGAGTGAAAAAATGGACAACACGAAGACACATACTGCACGAGCGAAAATTTGACGACCATTTAGTTTCACTGATTTTTTCTCAATCGGCTGAGTAGTTCGTGCTTAAGCGGAAAGACTATACTCTGGTTCAAGTCACTGCGTCTAACCCATACGCTAACGTGATTCACAGTAGTCTATAAAACAGATACACTAAGCCATTATGTGAAAATTGTCTGGATACTTCCCGTTTCGTGGGCCTTGAGCGGTTACACATTTTCTTTTACTTATCCTCTGGTGTCCCGTACCGTAAGGTTGTTTTTCCAAAGTCGAGTAGGGCTAATCTCTAATTCGCTGCTCTGGATGCGCCTTCTTCTTTGACACCATATTTGTGTCTCAGAACTTGCCTCATTTGTAACGTGTATTGAAACCAATCATGAGCACTTACCGTCGACTAAGCAGTGATATGAGAACCTTGGCGTCTGATTTGTCTTTGCTTTTGATTCAAAGTAGGCAGGGGGGTCTACGACGCTGCTTAAGTTGCTACTACGCTTATCAGAAATGGATCTTTGGAACATAGTTTTCTTTCTACTTGGATTTGCTGCTGCCGCAAATGGTGACTTCCGTTTTCGGACTACAACACCGATAGCTATCTTTGCCTCTCACCAGGTGCTTGATCATCAATACTGATCCTCATTTCATCTATCGGTTGGACTGCGTTTTCAGAAAGTCCCTGACGAAGATACTGAACCTTACCGTGGTATGACGGTGCTTCCTGCGGGTGGCATGGCAGCTAGGCACCGAAAGGGTGCTACAGCTGAACGATTGTTATTGTTGTTATTGTATGACGGTTTGTGTGCCTCAGAACACGGCTTCAGTGGAGGATGTGCGTGTGACACTTACAGTCTATCATACCTGGTTGGTCCGTGGCCACCGGCCTGGTCCTCCAGCTAGGGACTGGAACATGTGTGGCGCATTTTTTTAGACGTTAATACATTATCGTGTACCGATATACACCGCTGCCTTGCGGTCAGGCTTTTGAACCAAATGCTTTGGTCGTCCTCCTCTTTAGGTGTAGGTACCCTGGTAGTATCGTAGCCCATGTACAACCCTTATGCTTGCAACTAACAACACTGTGATGCCACATCGGCCTTCGCGCCTCATCAACCAGGTGGCCGTCCGTGCTGCATACATCAGGGTGGGTTAGTGAGGACAAGCTACTGTTGGCGCCCCCTTCTCTTTCACGTGCTATTTCCCCCCCACACTCCATTAATGACTCCTTGCAAGCCCATGCGTTAGGACTGACAATCCCGTTCGTCTCTCCTTCGGCCTGGGCTGTGACATATGTACTTCAGTCGTCACAGACAGCGCCAGGCGTTTCGAAATCAATCTCCAAGCATCGACGCTCGGTCTGTCTGGCCGTTTTTAATGTTCGCACTCTGAAGCAAGCAGGACAACAAGTTATTTTTGCTCTGATGTTGGACTCGCTTGACTTGTTCGGCAGCGAAGCATCAGTATTTGAACACAGTTATGCTGTCGATGTTAGTAACCTGCTTAGCCGGGGACACCGTAACTCACCATCAAAGATGTATTCTGTGGTTGCAGGTTTAGTTCTCGTTAAGGGTGTCTTTTGATCACATGAACTTTCATGGTTTGTAATTTGCATTCCTTTCTGAACCCTTTATTTTCAGGCAACTATGTGTTGTGCGGTACTTGTCAATCATCCGAAACCGACCTTTGTAAAGATTCCCGTCTCCTCTTTCTCCACTGCCGCCGATGCGGTTCCCGAATCACAGTCAAGAACGTCACTTCCGGTTTCCAGGCCGTCACCGGGAGACGGGCAGCGATACGTGCCAAAACCCAGTGATCTTTCGTCGTCCACCTCCAGTTGTCATCGATTTTATCTCATTTTTTCCATGACTGAATGATGCTTTTGCATGTACGTTCGGGACTTCGGATTACCTGTACTTGTGACGGGGCAACACCTGTATTTTTGCTTGGTACCCTGCTTTCATTGCTGTACAGTTACTCTCTAGACCCGAATTTTCGGCGCGCTCGAAATCGGCTACTTGTTTTGCTTTACGCTATGCAGGCTGTAATTGAGTATTGGTATTTGGATTGCGACTTCTCGTACACTTTTCACTGATCAGAGTTATTGTACGTAGCAGGATGGCTCACACTAATGGTCTCACAAACTAATGTAATATTGTGGAGCAGAAACGAATGTGGTTTTTCCTACCTCACTTCGGCAGTCGTGGTGCTACCGTTCATTCTGATCTGTCACCCTGTTTGTTCAAGTGTCGTTAAGTTAGGGTCTTTATCGTAGTTACTCTGAAATATACCTGAAGATATTACTTATTCGAGCTCACTTTCCGAGGACCACTGGTGCTTTTCTTGAATACTCGAAATCAGCCATCTTCAACGTCAAACGCAGTGAGTCGAGAGGTCACCCTGAGCTTAGTCTGGTTATCAATGCAATCCTCACGTATGCGAGGGATTGGTTGGGCGTTGTGTAAGGGTATTCACATCTTTTGACGGTTCCGGACCCTATACGAAACCTTGGGATACTCCGCTTCCGCAGACCACATTCCGAAGCATTTCCTGGAAGAACCCGTAGATGAGAAAATCGGTTGTTCACATGTGGACTTTACCTGCAGTCTCCTCAACCTAGAGCTTAACAGTACAAAGGTGGAGAGCAAGCTCCCAATGAAAAACTTAACTCAGCACCTTATTATAGTGGACTTTCAAAAAGTACACGCACTATTGCCAAATTATGTAGTAAAAGGGACAAACAGGCCTCTGGTGAATTACAAATGATATGTTTTTATCAACTGGATGAAAAATGGGGTCCCAACAGGAGCATCGTAAATGAATGAGTATTATTTTCTCTGAGTAGGTATTTCTCGAATGCTTCATATAATATTGTATTGGCTATTGATGTACAGACACATGGAATGCTGGTGACTCATGACATTCACTTAAGAATTAAGGGGCTAATTTTTTCAGGAACGACAGAATGATCACTGGTGAAAAGCTTCATAATTCGGTTATTGAACATCCGGACACTGAGATGTTAAATCTGAATGTCAGAACCATCGTGGTATCAGCATAGTCACCGTCAACCCTAAGTTGCTCACAGGTATCAACCCACGCAAGCTTACTAGCAATCGCGATGGGTGGAGTCCTGAAGACCAAGCAGATTTATTTTCGTCGGCGTTGTGGATGCACTCACTGCATTTTTACTCTACGACTTATCGCATACTACCACACGTCAGTAATTGCTACCTTATGTCCAAATGTAGCGTTCGACTTAGTTGATCGCTCAATTTTATGGCGATGTCTCTATAGTTGTAAACCAAAAAGTCTCCTCACGCTTTCCAAGTTCTTACAATCCGATAGTCGTGGGTGCGTGGAAGTCTGCGGAGAGTATTCTCCCGCGTTCAACGCCAAAGGTGGTGTTCATGAAGGCCGCTTTTTAGCGTTCCCCTTAAACCTCGTAATCAAAGAGATCTACTGTCTTCTACCTCTGACATGATGTTTCTTCCCGAGGTAGGCATCGGGACGATATTGAACAGCTCGGTTCAGATTCAAAATACACCAGTCAATCCAAATGATGTTGCTATACCTTTTGGAGTGCGCTTTCCACCCTTAGGTTTCTGTTTTAGAAGATGGAACGGGTGTTCCATAAAGCTGTTCATCACGTCATGGCCAAAGGGCAGATGTATACATTCGAGCAGCTGTATCATGCTGAATGGCAGCATTGCTGACGAAGTGAATGCTAGAATCGCCAAAGCCCGTTCCGTTATGTCGTATCAACTTGTGAGTGAATGGCAAGGGTCCACAACACGACAATCTGTTTAGCGTTGCTCTAAGGTCGTGGATCCTGGGCCACAGAAGGCAAAAGAATATTGCTTGACTTTGACAATTAGTGCCTTTGTGGCATTGTGCACTTATCATGCGAACATCGGATAAGAAGATTTCAAGTCCTATAACAGCTGTTTAACTGACTGATGAGTGGATTCTGCTGCAACAACTACACTAGTTGGGCCATGTGCTCCGTATGCCACATGATCGGATTCTCCTCCGTGCCCTGTTTGTTGAATCGGGTCTCAGGTAAAGGTTACCACAGATTGGACAGCTTGCAACCTGGAGACGAAGCTTGAAAAACATCAAATGCTTCTAGGTACCGTGACGTTTGTCCCTGGAGAGGTTGAGTTATCAGACGCCCACCACATCAGTGATTGGAGGTACTTACTGACATAGCGATGTCACAATCAGTGTTGGTTGTGTTTACTCTGTTCTCTCGATCCTAATCATCGACCCAGCGTTCTTTTTGAAAATGCCTTCCGTACCCCCCTCCGCCTAACTTACACTGTCGGCTGCCATAAGCCGCGATGACGCGAACAGTCCTGCATACGTACATGGTTCACAGTTGTCGAACTAAACTCAACAAGCGGAAGATCATTCTCGTTGTCTGTGAGTGCCAACGACATTGGTGTTCGGTAATGTAATATTGGGTTTACATTGTGTAGACGCAGCATACTACTCATAAGGTTGCTGAAAGCTCTCCGACATCACAAGCGAGGAATTCAGCTGGGTTCCAAGTGAGTCTTCTATCAAAACCAAATTGGTATACAAGTGAGTGTATTCCACTAGTTTACACATTTCCAAATCCAGTCTGTGAAACCCACATGCACTTGCGCTGTGACTGTTGATGCTTCCCTAGCTCAGTAGCACGTTGATTTCAGACTAGCTTTTATCCGTAGATGACATATTCAATGGAAGGAGGTTTAACGCGTTTTAGTAAAAGGCAGTCTGCTTCCGACAGTTGCTCCCTCTAACCGCGTTCTGCTGTGTTAAAAATCTGCCAGATTTCTTTCCGATTTTTTGTAGAGCGCATCTTGCGTGTTCTGATTCTGTTTCTAGCTTCTGATGGTCCACGATTTCGCACCGCTTCTCTTACAGAGGATGCTTTTTTTACGATGGGGACGGTAGAAATTGGAAGAACGTTATTTCATGTTAGCAAGAGAAAACTGTAAGTAGGCGATGTTGCATTGAGCTGTATGGTACTTAGATCCTGCAGAAAATTCCCTTCTTTTGAGCGGCCTATGCAGTAAGCCTTCTCCATAATAGTACCCCCGTCCAATACATTAGGTGGCCGCCAGTATGTGTCCTTGACATGTCAGGAAAGAGTCCGTTCACGTACAATCTGAAGACCATTTATTCATTAGGTACAAGGCACGGCATAAATTTATCGCGATTGCCAGCTAGGGTTAAGAGGAATGTCCCTGCTGTCTGAATTTCGCAAAAAATATTCCAGATCTGATTCGCTGATGTCTTTACAGGAGTGAGAGGACAGAGTAAGAGTTGATACGTTGATCGAAATCACTCTCGGTCTATGGACGTTCATGCTTAGAGTACCTTCCTCTATATGGCCATTACTAATGCAACCGGCTCTTGCGGGCGTTGGACACTGTTATAGTGATGACTTGGTGTCCTCGTTGGTAGGCCTTGCTAGGACCTACAAGTAAATTTCCGGACTAAAGTCATCGGGTTTGCTAGATGGATACATGGTGGTCAAGATGACTTAATTTGCGAACGAAGCTCCTAGTTTGTTCCTGTATCCTCGTACTGACCGGTCTCATTTACTCTTTGATTGTGGTATATCAGTTGAGACCAGTTATTTCTCAACATGATTATGAGGTAATGAGCACACAAATTGACAAGGCTGCATTTTCTGTCTGCCAACGCGAGGGACACCGTCTGGTCTGATTGCATGCTGAACTTTCTGGAAGTACAGACAGTGTCGTTATGAGAATCTGTGAGTTACTAGTCGTATCAGATCGCCCTTATCTGGTCCCAGAATAGGAGCAACCTTCGCGCTTGAAGCAGACAAGAGATGAGATGATAAACCCGGGTTCAAGTAGATCACAAGGTTGACGGACACTCAGGGACTGCGCCTACCTGATGAGCCCCAAGTAGGGCGAAACCGGTCGTGGGCTGTCGAAGAGTTTTCAGCAACCTTGTGAGTAGTTTCCTTTATGAAACCTGGAGTAGTAGTTATCAATCGTTGATACAAACCGAAATAAGTCACAAACTGAATTCAGCGCTGATAGAAATACTGTATTGACTGAGCTACGTGATATACTTCTGTTTTCAAATAGTGGGTAGACCACAGGCGATGATGACACATGGTAATGCATGCCAAATCACTTAGTCCCAGCTTATTACAGGGCGGTTCTTATTCGCTTTTGCGTTACTAACATCCTGTAGTAGTATCTGTGTGCTTTTAATTTTATATCTTTTGTCGGGATGTAAGACGTCTTGTTCAGCACCACAGATGGAGCAATGGAAGCCTGTGTCTCGCACACTTCAGCGGCAGCGTAAACAGCTTAACTCGACATTTCAGCCTGGAGCACCTATGAGCACATTAATACCAAGGGGTGGAATGTGTTAATACTTTGATGTCATTCGACCGCATACTGCTCTCGCTGTTCACCCTTTAAAATAAGGATGGTGAACTCCTGAGAATTACTGGTGCCCTTTTCAGAAACGAAGTAGTTATGGTATTTGAAAACGTCACACGCAAATCTTAGCTAATAACTAAAGGTCAGTCGACCAGCATTTCACCAGAATGACTATTATATTGCGTCGTTATGTGCGAGTCTTGACTGTGCTAGCGCCCACTGCGCCTTGAAGAGCATTCAACATTGTTTGTCCTTTCTTCGGTTGCTGGTCTTTAGACGCCTGTTTCCATATCGAAATTTTTACATACTTTGAGATTCATCTCATCAGACTGGAACTGTTCTTGGCATGACTTCGAATGAGACGGTTCTCTCTTTTCTATCATATTCTCCTGTAACTTTTTCGCATTCATCGCTTGCATTCGCTTTTTGTGTTTGTGACCATGCTCTTCAAAAATAAATGGTAATGAAAATAAGTGGGATTTTATGCTCACCATTTTGTCGGGACTCTACAGGTGGCCACTTACGCTACTCAAAAAGACACCTTCTGATAAGAGGAGTCACACGCTGGAGAGTATGCAACAGCTTTCAATGACGAATACGAACGAATCCCCTCTAGATAGTCGTTACTCTAAAGAGTCTAACTCATTGCTTTCCTTTGCTATACATTCTTAGAGGAAATACGAGTGATGGATAGGAATCTACTTTAAAGCAATATTCACGACCACCATTTGAATAGCCGACAAAAATTTATCAATTTTCGTCAGATAAGGCTATCATCATTCGGACTGTAGATCATGTGTAGATCATAGGTGTTTTCGCATACTCACATTTCTTTCGACTAGATGCCTGACATAGTGCTGACGTAAAAGAATGACGGAAAGCAAGAAGATGATAGCTCTTCGCTCCAAAATATCAGTCTTCTATCATATTGGACCGCCCCTATACATTGGACAGCTATAAGTTTCTGAGCACTTTCAGTGCAGCTAACAATTCTAGAAGTTTGAGGTCTGCACAACACCAAAGTGGCAGTTCGAACTCGCAAACAGCGAACTAAGAACGCGAGTAATGCCAACGGATGAAAGACTGTCGTCTATTGACAAACAGCGCAACGGTAAAACGCGGCTACTGCTCCGCCAGGTTTCCTGTGAGACGACGTTCCTATTTATAGAAATCACGGCTCAGAACACTTGGAGGTGGGCCGTCACACAATAAATTTTGTGACATATTTTAGTCTAAGACTGCGAAAACTACTGGAATTCCCGTCACTAAGTATCAAACCTTCTAACAAAAAGGAAAGATTTATCGGCCAGAAAAGTGGACTCAGTTGGAAAGTCTCAGTTCTCAGGCAAAAGACCCAAGACTACTATCATATTTAAAACCGCAGACGGTCAAACTGATTGGGTACATGTTAGCAGTACCAGAAACAGCGGCATTCTACAAACGATCCGACCAGTAGGTGAATAGATGAGTACTGAAAGCATCATGGAAATAAATGAGTCTAGTACATGAATTCTAGCCTTAAAAGTCACGGGCATGATAATTCCAGTCTCTCCAGGAAGTTTCTATCAGCGAAGTAGGGATGAATAGCCTGAACGGGCACACTGTGCTTAGCTGAATTCCAGGACACATACTAGAGCTCTAATGCTGTCAACCAAAAACTAGGTGTCAGCTTAATGAATAAGTCATCGCGTTTATCAATTCGTTTGCGTTTGCAATGATATATGTATTGGAAGAAGAGAGTTTGTGCGGTGTTCACCATAACTTGAGTTTCAGCTAGTCAAAACGAAAGTCAGAATTCACCGAGCATCTACTCGAGACAGGACACGGAATGATTTCACCGGGATCGTCCGTCCAGGCTTGTGAACAGAAGTCTGTACTCGAGAAACACTTATTTTCAAATCAATTTGGTCTTCACGAGAGACTCAACTGAATCTCTCGTTTATGAGATACTGCAACTGAATGTGCTGCACACAGGCCGCCTCACGTTTCAGTTGACATGATATACAAGATATCGTAAATATATTTTCATAAAGGAAACTACTCACAAGATTGCTGAAAATTCTTCGACAGCCCACGACCGGTTTCGCCCTACTTGGGGCACATCAGGTAGGCGTAGTCCCCGAATGTCCGTCAAACTTATGTTCTGTTCAACAACCTTGTATATATACTGCAACATCTCGAACATCGCGCCAACTGATTCATGAGGCGGCCTGTGTGCGGCACATTCAGTTGGAGGACATCATAAAGGAGAGATTCATCTGAGTCTCCCGTCAAAACCAAATTGATTTGCAAATAAGTGGATTCGTCACAATCAGTCCAATTAAGGTTCAAGCAGGACATAGAGTTGACGGACACTCTGGGACTGCGCCTACCTAATGAGCCAAAAGAAGGGCGAAACCGGTCGTTGGCTGCCAAGGAGTTTTTAACAACCTTGTGAGTAGTTTCCTTCATGAAAAAAAGCTTGTACTCTTCGAAACCAATGAGGTTCTTATACGGCAAAATCGTTTTCAGCTAAATATACCCATAGGTAATTAAATTTGGTTTCACGAGAGACTCACCTGGACCCCAGCTGAATCTGTCACTTGTGATGTCTTAGAGCTCGTTACCCCGAGCATACTACTCTTCGACAGCCTGTGACCCATACTTGGGTCTCATCAATTAGCCTCAGTCTCCAAGTTTTGTTGAACTCCACGTTTCAACTAAACACCGAATTTAAGCAGTAGGCGAAATACTTTCGTGTGTAAATTCATTTGTTCTTAACAGGAAACTCGGAGGAATCCCAGCTGAAATTCATTTGAGGTCCCCCCTAACATTGACTTAAACTGTAAACGTGTGTATCTCACTAACGGGGTGGGATTGTTATTCGAGTTGGTTGAATTTACGAAGTGCAGCCTGGTTTCTCAACTGTTTGGAATTCGACTGCAGCTGAACCGATTGAGTGATTAACACATGGCTATCGCGGTTCAACGATACTTTTGATTGTGAAGGGAATAGCTCACACATTCAACGTCATGTTCGCGTAACGTTGAATGACTAGCTAACCAGCCATTTGTGTCCACTGGACCGGAGTGGTGTTAATCATTTTGGCGTCCGGGTGATTTTTATCCAGCCTAGAGGATAATAATGGGTCCAATTTTTCAACACCCTCCGGGATTAGGCCATAACTAATCCGCTCGCTGTGTTTCATATGCAACAGCTTCAACCCAGGAAAGAGGGTGCGCCGCATTTCCGCGGACGTAACGAACGCAATAAATTCAGCGGGTTATGGGGGTGAGAAAGTTGACCGTAGGGTGGGTTCGAACGGTTTCAAGAGCCTTATAATTCCGCTTAGATGGATCGCTCGAGTGATTTTGACCACAGCAGCTTAAAAGTCACTTTCATGACTGTTTCCGGTGGATTAAGCCGAGACAATTAGTGGATGTTGCTACCATCCTGGCTATTGCGTCATCGCCAGCATTCGCCCGTCGCGCTATTCCTCCTGTTCACCTCCCCAAACGTTTGAAGTGCGATGTGATTTGAATAGTAAGCTTGAAAAAATAACCAATCGACTGTTGATCGAAGTGGTGTTAAGTTATTAAGGAACAAACAATCAGAAGGGAAAATGGTGGACCGGATAGAATCATTAGTTGAATTTTGAGCGTCTCTTCAAACGTTTTATCTCGGATAGCGCAGGTATATTTTTTAAAACCAAGTCTGGCCTAACGGAGCTGTGCTTCTTTCTTACCTTTGCCTTTTCGGACACGTGAACGAAAGCGAAAAATGAGCTTACTTCCCTCAGGATGTTCTGGCCAATGACTAATTTTCAAAGAACACCTCCCTTTTGGTGTCCCTGAACGGCTGAAATTCTGTCAAATTCAGTTGGTCAATAAGGAAGAATCATTCCGAAGAAAATTAGACCATTATCTTAATGAATTAGTGCCAAGATGGTATGCTAAGTTACATTTTGAGCTCTTGGAGCTCCTGTCTGAAGACGACAGGCACACATATCTTTGTTCTCTCGGAACAGTATTACGATGAGAAACGAGGCACTTCAGATGACTGGAAAAATGCCAGGAACCCAGCTTTTTGCTACATTTATATTTGATTCCCAGAGTGAGAAAATAAACAAGCTATCTGTTATAAATAAATAAATTGCCTTGTTCATTTTAGCTGCGTTAGCAGCTTCACTGTTCGTAAAATACATGGGTAGCATAAAACGCAACACAGCCAACTTAGGTCAATGATACGATGGTCCGTGAACTGCTGATAATATGAGTCATAAAGATCTGAATTCGTTGTATCTAGAGCATCACCGGATTGAATGCTGTGGTATTGGTTGAACACGAGTTCTCAATGGAGTCTTCTTCCAGGCCGTCGGGATTCTCGGATTCAAAAGAATCTTCAAAGGAAATCTCCGGTGACATGTTCATTTGGTTCGGTAGTGTGGATTCAGGTTGATATAACGAAAGCTCGGAACTCTCCTGTTTGCCGTGACTTTGCTGTGGCACACCAGAGTATGATTGTGATGGGCGCTTGTTGCATTCAACCTGTCGAGCAAGTTGTCGTTTTAGGCGAGGTATGCTGGAACTGTTGGGGTGAAAGTTCAAAGTGTGCTGAAGCATTTCTGCGCTACTGGTGCAAGCGAATCCACAGGCTTCACACACTCGAACTACCTCTCTTCGTTGATTCCGTGAAAAATTCAGTTGCACCTTGTGGATTTTTCGTCTGTGGCCTTCCAAAGAACAGCGCTGACTGAAGGATCGACCACATTCCGGACACACATATGGTCTGACCACTGAAAAATAGAAACCCATGTTCATCGTTGGTCAGAGAATAAGCTTGGCTTGTAGACAAAACAGAGGAATTATACCGAGTATGAACCCTTCGGTTTGAGCGTCACGACTGAGAAGAACGCACACCTATATGGTGGTATCAAGTACACTGCCTCGAAGGTTCCACTAAAATCGTGAGTGGCTACATAAACAACCCGATGGTACTTTTTCACGCTGCCCTCTTGTACTGACAAATGTGGAAGGAAGGAGTGACACGTTTGGCGCGTAAGCTATCTGCAGGGAGCTCGATTCATCACCTGACAACCATTACATTAATCGTTTTTGGCTATTAGAACTCACGCGTCTCATATTCACCCGTTCTTTTCCTCATGACTTCATAGAAAACTTTTCTGTCGTGTTAATTGTCTCACAGAATGTACAGTGCAACTAAGAGGTTATTATCATATTGGCCTTTGGAGAGGCAACAATCTACCGGTTTTTGAGGAAGAACTTTTAAAAAGTATTCCGGAGAAGATGACACTGAACTGTGACTAAAGCAGGCTATTTAGGAGACGAGAGCTGATTACCGCACAAACGTGATAACCTGTGTTTTGAAACTTACTTGTATGTTTGCGAGTGTGTCGCTTCATATCATACTTATCATTGAACCCCTTGAGGCATCGTACGCACAGATTGAATTTGCTAGCACTGTGTGACAGCAAATGTTGTTGCATCGGTCGCAGACGCAAAGTGGTCCTTCCGCAGCCCTTGCATACATACTCGCCGTTTTCAGTTCGCACACCTGAAAGAAAATATTGAATAATTTGAGCTCGTTGTGTAAAATATGCAACTTGACACATTACCAAATACTTATTGAGCGCATACTAGAAACACCTTCGTGACTTTTAAGAGCACTGTTTTCAAGGACTCGCCGACCTTGAAGTACTTCAGGAGCAGCTCTCGGAGTGATATGCACGTAGAACTGGGGAAGTATTCACTCAAAATGCTTAGGGGGAAATCATGCACCTATTAGAATTCCGTACTGGTTGCAATGCATCAGCCTCCGGTTACTTATTTATAGCTCACGATGACAGTTGTCAGTCTCCTAAGTTTACAACCCTTCACCCTTCGTGACGCGTACCAATTCACAACCAGTAACTCACCGACACTGCCTACCTCCAGCCCAGCAAATTGATGTTGGTTATTCGGTTTTTCATGTCGTGACATGAGTGGGAATAAAGGGTAACGTCCCATAAGTAGAAATTCATTTAGTTGGTTAAGACCGTGCGCTATAGAATGCAAGGCCTGAAAATGAACACCGAACTTAGCTGGTAACCTGTTACATACCAGAGTCAGCTTGACTCCGTTAGTACCTGTAGCACGTGAAGAACTCGAGACGTCACTTTTCCTCGTTAGTCGCATAGGATATCATAGGATCCAATTCTCAAGCGGATGAGCGAGGAATAGAAAGCACATAATGACGTACTTCCGAACCACTAGTTTGGATATATAAACATGAGAAATTCGGGCCGGCTCGACTGGTCCCGCTGAATGGCGAAGTAATTAGGAGTATATATATGTATACATATACATAGTAAATATTTAGCTGCAAATACGAAGCTTCCTTTAATACATGTTCCGGCGTTCGGCGTTCGGTCCATACTTTCCATGTAAAGCAGTTAGCTTCCCTAATTTGTGGAATGTACGATGTTAATAACGATATTTTTGGATCAGAACCTACGGTGATGGTTATATTTTAGACTGGTGCTGCGGAACAGACCGATGAAAATGAAGCTGGCGCAAAAATCAATAGTATATCGTTGTTTATGGTCAGCTATAGTGATTCAGTGTTTAAATTCGTCAGACTCCAACAATTTCAGGTTTGGTACAAATGTATACTCTTGAAAACGGTCAATCATTTTCAGTTATCCAAAGTGCACTTACTTTATCCGGACCGATTGAGGAAACATGCGTCTAGCCGTCGTACATGTCCTCCCTAATCCAGATAGATGGTTTTCGACAACCAATCTTCCTCGGCAACAGTGGTGCGAGTTTCTGTAGTCTCGCACATTACCGGTGGGTATAAGTCATTCACAGCTACGCCCCACTCGGATCCCAGGAGTGTGCGATGCGCTCAAACCACTTTTCACATCCCTATCACGCCCACGTGATAAAACTCACCACCATTGGAATTTGAAGCAGTCACTGAGAGTAACTAAGGCTGCATATGAAAAACTGCTTATGTAGCGTCGTTGGTTCAGGAGGTTCAGTCTTTCCGGTAACGTTATCCACAAAAGAGATTGTGTAACACATCAGCTTACTGCCCTGATTTCATAATCCAAAACCCGCCAGAACCATAGGCTAGTTGTGAGTTTTAATGGAAGTATCTAAGTCGGGCGAAACGTCATGAGATTATAACGATAACATAGGGATAACTCACACAAAAGAGAGGTAAGGTAGGCCAGTTGCACTTTCCTGTCCATTGCAAACGGGTTTCGGATAGCGGCTCCGTCGTTAACATATTTTAATCGGGGATCATTCGTCTCGATCATTTCCTAGAATAGCGAAAACAGTTAACGCGGGTGAACGCGTGAGATAAGCCTTGTGCACTTGCGATGGTGTTTCAGAATTAGGCCTGAATTTAAAAGTCGGCTTCGGAAAAATTAGTTGGAACTATCTAAGTATGGCTCTGTCATTGTGACTGGGAATCGTGGTCACAAAATCGGTGTCATTAAGTTATCCAGAATATAAGTGCTTACATACGAAAGACGTTGAATCGTGTAAGGAAAACGGGTTCCGGAGGAATCTGTATTCCATTTCAGTATGTGCTTACACTACTGTCGGGACGCTTACTCATGTGCAGCACCAGGGCGTGCGATCGGTTGAGCCGCAATAGTATGAAAGTAGGCCACCATCTGTCTATATATGAGCTGCTGGTAAAGTTGCTAGACACGGACTCATTCCTCAAAAATTTCGTACAAACTGACGTTTTTTTAAATACTGACTACATCTGTAACATAGTCTTACTCACCTCACACGATATTTCAAAAAATATCCCAGAACAGTATAGCAGTTTGCAGCACAATATTGGAAAAAGCCATCCGTGAGAAACCGAATGGGGTCATTCCTAAACATCAAAGGAGACGACAAACTCTGGAAACTTCTGTTCACTCTAAAACTAGTGAAAACACCTAGCACACTTTTGACTGTACGTCAGAAACTAAACTTCCCGTTCTCATTTCGGAGGATCCACAATCAGTAAACTATAACATTAGCGATAAATTATTATTACTATCTGTATTGGGCTCATCTCTCGTATATTCCCCACTTATGTTAGCGTGTTAATAATCCATGCCAGAAGAAAGCAAATGGAGCATGTTGCTTACCACAGATATTCATCTATACTTATTACCGTGTTTCAACAACGCGAAGACGACAATAAAATGCGCACTAAGATTGCATCCCTTTGGAGACAACGTGCGGCAGAATAATAGAAACTACTAGAGTACTCACTCGAATTCGACTCTTACTGTCAGCTGGTTCTGGGTGATAAAGGATTACTGGACCTTTTCCGATCGTTTCTTCATCGACGGAATTGGCTGTGGTGTCAGGATTTGGTGTAAACATCTTGGTCATGTGATCTGAGGTTTGCTGACGTGATGTTAAAGTATGTTTTACTGATGTGTTTAGTTCTGAATACCCGTGGGAGGCGCACTCATCGGCCGTCATTTGCGTATCCTCAGAGGGATCAACTCCCCAGCTATCTGAATTGAGCTGGCAAGCTCGCCTAGGCCACTGCTGTTCAAGTAGCCACTGTCTCATAAGTGACTGCCGACCACTGTAAATTGTCGTGTTTGAGGACAACTGTAACGTTTCATCAGGATGATTCTCCATTGGCGAAATTCCCGTTTTACGTTGGCCCAGAATGTGGATAAGTGAGGATATAGCCATGAAAATGGCTTCGGTCCGACTAGAACACGGTCCTTTGATATCCATCGGCTGATTGAAGTTTAGCAGTTCGTCGTTTGCGTCTGGAAGCACATGATTTCCAAGGATGTTCTGAATGTTAAAGGGTACCGACTTGATGCCATGTTCTGCGGAGCCATGTAGGCTATTTGACTCTTTTTCAGGCGATAATTCCTTAGGATTTCTGTGGATTCGTAGGTCCAGGGCGACTGGGCTAATAGGTCCCACAGTTTCATTCTGTTGGACACCAGAATGAACGGAAAATTCAAAGGGCGGTGAAAAGGAAGTGGTCGGTGGTGGACTACTGGAAAAGATGGTATCACTAGGCGCGTGGTCGCGTTCTAGATTGGATAGATGGCTGTAGTTGATGAATTTGGGGTGTTCAACACTGGACTTATGGGAACAGATAGACTGCTTGGATGCCAGTGGCATGCGTGAACAAGGTAACCGTTCACTGCTGTTGATCTGACATCTCAGTCGAACCAATGGAGGACGTGGCGTTGACGTGGTTCTCCCAAGTTCATGCACAATTTCATTCTCGAGCGATAAGCTGTCACTCACAGTAGATAAGTTCATCGGTCCAGAGCACATAAAAGATTCCGTGGTGCCTGTAAAACGGAGTATAATGCGTACCACTTAGATTGAGCAGATTACTAATCTGACTTGAAGAATGGATCTCTCAAAATTGATGCCTTTCACTTGGTATTTTGGTTTAATGAGATGTGTTCAAACCCAGTGATCCGCAGTGTAAATAACCGGCTAGAAACTGATATCGGCTCTCAATATAATGTAGTAGTTGACAATAGACGGATACAGCTCTGCAATATCTGTGGCACCTGTCTTCAGCCCACCTTTCCTGATGAGAACATCCACACAGCAGATACTGGACAGCAGTATGGCATCCTCCTTTATAAGAAAGCAATATCCGAATAGTAATTTAGAGATAAAAGCAACTTTGACAACTTCTCAGCTTCCTTTGCATGTTCAGCACGGAATTCCCTCCTTAAAAATCTGCACTTAACCTTAGAGGAGAAACAGCTATGTTCTGCTAGCGAATGAATACAGCCACCCCTGTTTTTGAGGTGCTGTGAGGTGTGCCTTGCGTACAAAACGATGCGTCAAGAATTGGTGGAGTAAAGACCTGTAACCGCACAAGAAACACATCTCATGGGATCTTGAGTATGAGTGAAGTAAAACATTGGTTTGCTCTACTTCCGAAATATGGTAAACTGTCTTGAACTACTGATAATAGGATGATTATGATTATGAAGATTATGGAGAATTTTGATCTTCCACTAACTAGTAACCATAGTTTTCTTTTCTGCTGTTGGATCCAATATGCTATTCGATTGCCTAATATAGAAGCCTGGTGGCTTTAAGTTTGTCACTTGGTAGCCTTTATCTGCATATGTGATGCCCTGTCAGAATTTTGTTTTAGTGCCCCTTTTTCCTCACTGGTAAAGTTAGGATTATAATAAAAATCGGAATTAAATAAACGCAATTAGAAATCTGGTGCGTTGGTTATGTCCCATAACCACCGAAGCACTCGGTGTAATTTAGCGTAGCTGAGACAAAGTGCCGTGTTCAAGCCTCCTTGCAACCTTCTACCACAATTCACAAGCTCTCAATATGGACTTTTCTAAAAGTCTATGTCAAGGCCAGTGAGAAGTCTTCACCCTAAGCAGCAGACGTGGAATCTTCCCAAGAAGTTTCTGTCCTCCTTTGGGTTGTACCAATCAACGGAGTATACCCAGTTTAAACAGGAATTGCAACGACACTGTCATGACAGTCTGGATGTCCTCGAAGTGAAAATTTTCTTCTTACTAAGGACGTTCAATGAGAACTCTACCACATACGTGCATTGTATGAAATCATACAAAATTTGGTTGGTCTGTCGTCCAGAAACAGTTACAATACGGCGCAATAAACAAGCAGAATGAACCCAAACTCACCATGAGAGGCGTTGTTCAAGCGTTCCATTCACTTTAGTGGTATTTGTTGGTTGTGCTATACAGGTTAAAGGCTGCTATGTTGCAGGCTATCAATCCAAATGTGGCAAAAGCACCAGTGCTAAGTCGCTGTTAAGTCGCTAATATTAATCCACTAACCAATCAGCTTCGCGGATTAAACTGGCTGTAACGCCCATCGCGGCGCAGGGTGTGAAATAGCGATTGCCCGATTGGACCGGAGGGAACATTCACACCCCCACTTCACGCAGAAGAGACAGGATTCAGTCGAGCGGCTAACAGCCAGCTGCAGACGGCCGAGATGAAAATGAGCTATATTTTATGGTGTCAAACACTTAGATATGAACACAGGTAAAGTGGACTCAAATGAGTCTTCAGTGGAATGTGCCTACTTGGAGGTCTAGCTGTTTTGATGTTTTGCTCAAGCGTCTATGTAAATAAATGGTAGAATGTCATAGATTCTAGGCGGTTAACATCCACATTTTACAATTCCGAATTAATAAAGTCCAAACTAACGTTGCTACTACTAATCACGAAGGCTGTGAGAACTGAACAGTATGGTTCTAGTTTTTATACGCCTGATGAAAACACGAATTCGGAGGCTGAGTATGTCGCAGTGTATTGCACTACCTAACCAAGAGATGTATACTTTGTAGATATAAACCCATTACTTTGGAAGATTTTGCAGCTCGGTGACAACTTCAAAAGTTGGGAACTAGTTATGTTTATTGTCATATGTTTAGAACTTTCGGCTTGATATTTTGACATACATTTTAAGAAAAGTTTCTTTATAAACACTGTCTGCTTAGTTTTGGAACGAAGAGCAGACTAAATTGTGGGTTGAGCATTACTGATGGACGGGTGTTTTTATTTGGTGGGGCATGAAAGCTAGTGAAATAGCGACTAGATGATCGTAACTCAGGCCACCATACGCTACAAGAAACTTTAGCGAACTAGCAAACAAACCAGTTGGAAAAGAATGCAGCCTATTCTTCCCACGGGCCAATGCAACTCAGGTGGCGTGGCAATAATCTAACAACTTCTTAAGCTTTACAAGAGTTCTTTTCTTGTATGATTCCTTTCAAATATTCCAGCCTTAATAAAGGCCGACGAAACAAAGCTTAGCTGTTACTAACGAAGGAATAGTTCCTGAGTAAACTGATGAGGTCTTTGAAAAAGCAAGTCAAAACGTTGTGTACTGATGATCTGAAGCACGTGCTTCTTACACTGGGACCAATTCATTTGTGACTCTGAGCTCTCAGAGCCTAGTTATCCAACGGGGAATATGTGTGCGTTTCAGTGCCTGTTTCGCCGATCCTCGAGCAACATGAAGATTTGCTTTGGAACCACGAGAAAATTGAACTATCCCACTTCAACATACAACGATGAACAAACTATGCAGGAGCGGCAGTGCCTGTCAGAAGAGTTTTGTAAGGAATCCGTTACTATTAATAGGCCATACAAAACGAAAATCATAACTTGAGCACAACAATTAGTTGTTTTGATCGGTATGCGAGACTTCCATTCACGTACCTCAATACCAAATCAAAGCCAAAGCTCCGCAATATTCTGACGGTTTTATGGGTGTTTAAATGAGTCATAATCAAGCGGCTGAGTCGTCAGATAAAATTCTGGTGAACGGCTTGGAGCGATTCCAGATTTGTCTTTTTTGTGGCACAGTATTTAAAGTATGAAGTCAAATTGAGAAGAAAGGAGAAATGTGCTTAGTCCTCGATCCGGAAAATAGTCACGAATCAATGGGAGGGGGTCATTTTGGTAACAGATTTGAGCAATTAGGAATGTCACTTTGTTGGAAACTTTTCCTTCTGGCAGGAAAATCGTACAACTGCTTCTGTATTACAAAGTACTTGAAGTTTGGTTGCAGCATATTCGTGCCAGAATTTGAACTTGTCTAAAACACACTGTGTAACACATTGCAGACGAGCTTTAGGGAGGTTACGGTATAACTCGCGAAGTTTGCTATCCCGATTCCGCCCATTTTCTGGAGTGTTCCCAGTTTCGAGTGGTATATTACGTATGGTATATTGCACTACTTCACTGACACTCTCTGTTGTCGTCCAAAGTTTTACACTCAAATTTCCAAAAAGTGTAACTGCCGTTCGCAGAATTTATGATTTGATTTGACCGGGTCATTTTGTGCCCTGAGAGAGTGCGAAGTGCCCTGAAAGATGTTTACCTGATCCAGTCGGTAATGGTTCCTCAATTGTACTCAACATTCATAATGTCTGCGGATGCAACCATTGATGCCACAAGTGTGGTCTTCACCGTCGTAAGAAGTCATTCCTCATGAGTCATGCTCTAGATTTGGACAATATATGGATTCGTTTCAATCAAGTAAAAGATGATCAGCAAATTCTCTCGATACCTACAAAGATGATGGCATCCGCAAGATACACATTTCAATGAGAACTCTACAGAGGATTTTAATGAATGGGGTGTAGATGGAGTCACGGTTTGCTTTGAAAGTTGCTAAGACCCATAAATAACGGGATAGTAAGTAGCCCGAATACACAGAAGCTCCTAAACTGTGTGTGAGAACCAGCTGCTCAAAATTTTCCGCCGGTGAAGCATCAACTGACAGTAATTATTTTCGTTAACACTCCGCATACGCATCTTACGAAATCATTAATGAGAGCAAGCAATATTCCCTGATGCTACAATAGGATGCGAAAAAAGTATCACCCAGGATTTTTGAAGATAAAGGAGAATTTACGGTAGCTGAGGTCCAACCGGAGCCACGATGGAGGATGCTTAATGTTATGAGATTCCATTTCTGTAACAGACCAAATCATTAGGCCAGACGGAAAAGAGACTTGAGTTTTACGTCAGTGCACTTAAATTTGCAAATGAATGTGCTCAGATAACTGCGTGCATTTTATGTTCAAGTAAAGCATAAAGGTGACATAAACCTGGGCAGCTCGCCTACCTGCTGAGCTCCAACTAACCTTGGGCGGCAGGTGAGTTTTCCGTAATCTTTTGAGCAGTTAGTTCCCAATGAAACCTACTACCGTTTATTTAGTTTCCTTTGTCCTTGTACTGATGCAACTCTGCGTCTTATAACACACGTTAATCAGTTACGTGGTATCCACTTTGTCCCTATAAGCGGAGCTGGAAAGTAAAATTACACGGAATCTAAGTTGACCCCGGGGCAAAGCGTCTGTTAAATGTGACATGAGATTGTCACTCGGCGCAATAAGCACTTTCAATGTCTTTTGGCACAATATTGCTCTGTATAGTGTAAGCCCATGT